CCTCTTCCTCCTCTTCCTCCTCTTCCTCCTCTTCCTCCTCTTCCTCCTCTTCCTCCTCTTCCTCCTCTTCCTCCTCTTCCTCCTCTTCCTCCTCTTCCTCCTCTTCCTCCTCTTCCTCCTCTTCCTCCTCTTCCTCCTCTTCCTCCTCTTCCTCCGGTAAATTGAAGTTTCCGTATCTTTCTTTTTAATTTGTTGAGCTGTAATCAGAGAAGGACATGATGTGAATCTCTAGTGGTATCGGGAATGTTGAATGTAATAGACACTGTGATAATTGAAGCTTTACATACTTCTTTTCTCATTGCCTCCTCATTTTGTCTCTCCTTCTTTTCTTCTTCCTCCCTCGGCCTGTCTTCCGCCTGTCTTTCTTCTACGTCCATCTGTAAAGAAATTGTGAAATACCTGTCAGAATTGTTGGAGTAGACGGAAGTTCACTGTATTTATTGACAATAAGTAAGTAAGTAAGTAAGTAAAGGAACTACTACTGTTTCTTTCTTCTTAACACTAAACCTACTGATACTTTATGTATTTATTCGGATTTTCGCATTTGCACACGAGAATTTGACCCGTCATGGTAGGTTTAGTGTTAAATATGACTATGAGATCCCAGCTATCTGCTGAGATGATAAGTTTTCATGTACTATGCTTAAATGTCGTAGTAAAAAACATTATAAAAAATTTATGTTCAAAAGTGTCCAGGTACTACATGGTCCTTTACCTTACATGTTATTATTATATTTAGGCACTGAAAAAGGTCGTTAGTATACCGAGCCAGTCTCTGAAAGACGATCACATCAGTCTCTGGCAGAGTTACTGGTACACCGGACTGGCGATAAGCGATTCAAAAGCTGACGGTGCTCTAAATGGCCACAAGATAAATTCTACGATTTATTACGTCTTGTCTCAAGTTCCCAAGGGTGTTCCTAACGTAGAAAAGAACGTGGCTATGAACGAGGGATGTTACCGCGGCCATCACACATTGTGAATAATCAGTTCCAATGGATAATTACCCTGTTACTACGCGAGTGCTTGAACTGAAGTATTTTCATTGTACTTCAGAGACGCGCCGAGGCTGTGGCAAGACACGTCTACGATCACTTCCGTTAACAACGTAGTCGAGGCCTGGTTAGTCACTCTAGAGAAACAAGGTTGTCATCGTCTGACGAGAGGCGATCCGAAATCCGTCCAACAAGCCATAGTCTTAAGTTTGGGCAGTTTTCGTTTCTCTAATCAGCATTTGGAATTTAATATTGACCCACATTACTTACACAGAGATTATCTGTTTAGGTAACGTATACTTGATTACTCATTTCGACTGAGAAGAAAATACAAAAATTATAGAATACGACGAACACGGGTATGCATGGAATTAGGAAATTTCAATTTGTATTATAGGAGAATAAGTTATGGCAATGTGACCCATTTAAACATCTCTATTACGGTCGGTGAGGACAATAGAGCGATCATGCGTGTCGCGTTGGACAAAAGCGACAGTATTTACTACGCGTGCGACGCTGGCTGTTTGGACAATCCGGTTTCGCTTGGTCAGAACTATATTAACATTCCCGTTAAGCTGACGAAGCCGTTAACAGCGATACTCTATATCACGTCGGACCATCAGCATATGCAGGATTTGAGAAATGCATTGCACGTGCACGCTATAGACGATGGTTCGTATCGATACGATTGATACTAAAACGGCGTTTGCTGGTATTGCTTTGGTCTCAAGGGCGTGTTCTGGTTTTGTTACAGCTCCGGCGCACGACCATTTGGTCATGGCACTGCACAAACACGGCCACCAATTAGGTGGACTTCCCACGTTCTTCTGGGTCAGTATATGCTTCTTGATCATTGTATTCCATTTGTTCCTCTGCAAACTCGTCATCAACGAGTACCACAGTCATCAGGACAAACAAAAAGTTCGGTATAGTAAATTATAATACACGTCTACCGAGACATTTAGGGAAGAATAATAGAACATTATTTTTCTCAATGGCGCGATGTAGATAGAAACATGTTTGTACATTATGTAAATACGGAGAATGTGTAAGTTAACTGGAAACATGAGTAAAATTTTTGTAAGAATTAAACAGACGCCGTTACTTGTTGAATATTCTTTATTTAATACTTGTTTATACAATAATTCAATTGAATATATGTACATTCTATATACAGAAATGTATTTCCTTACGATCTATTTGTACATAATCAATTGAAACCTCTTGTTTCATCTTCATATTTCTTCCACGTCTCCGAAAATCTTAACACTTTCTCACGTTGCCGATCGAAATCCTCTTTCCTTGGCCTTCGCCACGTGTCATGATTCAAGTCTAACATTCCGCCTATTACTTCCTACAATAAATATATGTTTCACGAACCATCTCTAATAATATGATATTCCCCGCTTTATAAGAAGATAAATACTTACCTCTGCAAAATTTTTCGGGAACATCTGCTCATCCTCGATGACATGAGCATACCCCTTGTCTCTTTCGAATTCGACCATGAAATAAGATAAACCATTCGGAATTGCTTGGCGCACGTCTTTGTGCTCCAGATCGACGACCTTTTTATTCATTGACCATTCGGTTTCGCATTCCAATAAGGCTTTCTGTCAAAATATTCGATAGTTTAATTTCGCTTACACATACACTGGCTAGTAATATAATTCCTTTGACGTACTTACTTTGAAATATATTGGTGCCAATTCGCCTATTTCCTTCGCTAACGGTACACAGATCAATTGCATATGTGAGTATTTGTAGCGGCTCTTGTAAACTTCGTAGAACACTGGATACTGATCTTGATCAGTGAACATTTTATACAATGCTTGCTTGTACATCTGAAAAGAACAGCGATGAGAAAAAAGTCATACATATATATATACACATATTAATTAATATTAAAACGTTGAATGCCACGGGGGGTCACCGGTGACCGGCACTCAACTTGGCAGTGACGCCATGGGGGCCACCGGTGACCGGCGCGCCCAGATTGATAGAAATATATATAATTTAAACAAATGACAATACTTCGCGAAATCGCACTCAGCGTCACGGGGGCCACCGGTGACTCCGTCGCAATTAACATGTCAAAAATTGTTATACACTGTAACATATCTATTACAGATAATATTTCAACATTATATGTATCGCATAATAGAAAATTCATCGTGGCGCCATGGACAATCCCTGTAAAATTGGCGTGGCATTCAACGTGTTAACATATTTTAATTAGATTCTACCTTCAATTTAGCCGAAACGTTTTCATCCAATTGTAATTGGCAGCTGACATGATGCGTGGGCGTTATTATACAATGTCCAGGAGTCAACGAAGTGAACTGAGGAAGACTTATACAAATATCTCGGTCCATCGTAACGACCATATGTTTCAACATGTACTTCGAATCGATGCACCATTGGCAGTTGTCGAGGCTTTTCGATAAACGTGTGTGCTCTTTGATAGCGCGCGAGCGATCCCTCTCATCTTGTCTCGCATCAGATTTAACGCGAGTGATCCGTTCCTCGAATATTTCATCCATGTCCATTGTTTTAGAAGCGACTTTAAGGAATTCAGCATCGTCCTCGTTCGCAGATCTCCCTTTTTCCTTTTGGAACAATTGTGCCAGCGAATATTTGTCATCGTCAAAGTAATGCCGCACTTTCTTTCCGGAAGCGTGCGTTTCCGCGTTCTTTCGTTTACTACTTTGCGAATACTCCGTGCGATCTCTAGGTTCCAATGGCCTCGTATTACCTTTAGCATCGGTCTGTGTGAGTACGACCTGAACTTTCTCCGTGCCACGTGTTTCATTGTTCTTGGCAGCTTCTCTAGCATTTTTTAATCGACTCTTTAACTCGTCTGCAAGTTCATTATCGCCCATTATTTCAGCTTTGGCAATCTTCGCGCCCAGCTTGTTCATTTCTGCTTCTGTCAACAATTTCGAGCCTCCAATTTCTGGTATACTGGTAGTCAGATTGCTGGTAGAGTTCGTAGGACTTCTTGCTGTGGGAGCATTTGAATGGGTTTCTCTAATTTCTGGTACATCAGTACTGATACTGCCACTAGAGCTTGTATAGGAATTTTTCGACTCAGAAACGTTCCGATGACTTTCAGCAGGTTTACATTTTTGCCAATTTTTCCTACCAGAATGACTTGTTCGATACGAAGAATCGAAACAATCGTCATCCATGGGTTTTCTATATTTTTGCTTCTGGCGATCGTTAGACCGATAATCATCATACTTTTTATATTTGTCGTTCCTCGAATATTTGGTGGAACGACTGGAATCCGAAGAATGTCTAGAATCCCCATACTTCACATCACCTTTGAATTGGTGACTGGAATTTGATTTATCTCTTATTGAAGCACTTTCCGCTTTAGATATCATCGACTGAATTACTTCCAGCGAGCCCCATCTTTCGGCTGCGATTTCTTCCAAACTCCTATTCTCATTTTCTGCTTGTTCCTTAGCCCTTCGAAGACTTTTCTTCAGCCACTTCACATCCATTACTTGCAGTGTGTCTGCTTTCCTTACATTCTCCTCGGGCAAACCACTACCACCGTTTTTCCAATAAGGATTTAATTCCCGATTACTTTGTCCTAACTCGTCCAAATTGGGCTTATCGTTTTCACCAGGAGGTTTAGTTTTCTTCTCATTAAATACGCATGGAAACAAACTTTTCATGCTCATCCAATCTTCCCTTTTAGGAGCCTCGGATTGTTGTGTATTTTGCTCTTTGGCTGCAGACGGAGCAGTTTGGGATATCGGTTTTTCCACCCATTCTTGTTCCGTTTCACTCATGCTAGTAGTTGTCTCCGATTCACTGTATTTCTCTTTCTTATGCTTCTTTTTATCTCTTTTCGACTTCTTCTTTTCATGTTTAGATTTACTTTTATACTTCATGTGCTTCATTGTCGCTGTCAATTGAAACTAACCAATTTGACAGCGTGCGTACTATGCACGCTATGCACTGCGTAGTGCGTAGTGCGTACACAACACTCTACTGCGCATGTATCTCGGCGCAGTCAAGAACGTGACTATAGCTTTTGACTATATATATATACATCAGGGCTGGGATAATTTTTTTGACACGCCGGGCGCGAAATTCGGTTTCTCGTGCATGTTTAGCGGGCGCAAAATAGCACATTCCCGCCCTAGGGCGGAAAAGACGGAAAATGATATAATTACAACTTCGATGGCTTTTGTTATCGATTAATTTCTCGCCCGGCGTGTCAAAAAAATAGTATGTGCACCACGGGCGCAAAGGGCATTCTGTCACTCGTGTGAATTTGTTGCCCCTCGCTTCGCTGGGGCGAAATTCACACTCGTGCCAGTGCTAGAATGCCCTATTTTGCGCCCTAGGTACACGCGTCGTCCCCACTTTCCGGCCGAGGTAAAACATATCTCAACGCTGTTCTAGAGGTGTTTTTGAACAACAATTTCTTTGGTAAAATGCATAGCGAGCTATGGTTTTTGAATTATTAACCACTAACTAATGAGAGCACGCGTAGGGATAGGTTAGTTCGAATCGTGACGCTCGGCATCACAAATAAAAAACAATTATTTATACCTCCGTTATTGAACAAATATCACAGGGCTTATTAAAATAAAAAAAGGTTATAAAGCAGTCGACGTATATGCTGGCTGCCTCTGGAATTTTTGCAATAGTTTTCGAATTCGACTCATGCGCGTTAGCGTCAACTCTTATTTTTGGTATGGAGATGTTGGTTACGCAGACGATAAGATTTATAGTCTGATATGTTCGAAGTCGAAGGTCATAGGTATAGACATTAGACACTTTGCCAAGTGGAAATAAATACAGAGGGGATTTTGGCTAAAAAGACATTAGTCAAATGTGAAATAAAGATTATTATACAATTAATTAATTTATTAACACGAAGTGAAAAATGGGCAACAGATCTAGTCTCTTGCTTCGCGAGGAAGAAATCGCACAAATTCAGGAAGCTACTGGTTGTAAGTTTCGTCGATGAAACGTGTCATTTCATTTATTCGTTCGCATTTGTCAATGACTCGATGACTATTTTCTCGGTTCAATTCGTTGAAACGAGTATTTCTTATCACGAATCGTGAAACGTGAATATGATGGTTACAGTTACGCCAAATCAGATCGAACGATTGTATAGCCGTTTCACGAGTCTCGATCGTGGAGACTGTGGGACGTTGAGCAGGGAGGATTTCCTCAGAATCCCAGAGCTGGCTATCAATCCTCTTGGCGAGAGAATCGTCAATGCTTTCTTCGACGAAAGTGGCAACGATAGAGTGAACTTCTTACAGTTCATGCAAGTGTTGGCTCATTTCAGGCCGATTAAAAAGAACAGCCCGAACAGATTGAACTCTAGACAAGAGAAACTTAAATGTACGTCAACGACGGGTATCTATTCTACGATATTAGAAACGATTTTCAACACGTTACAAGTATTCATCGTCATTTTCAGTTGCCTTTAAAATGTATGATTTGGACAATGACGATTTAATATCGAAAGACGAACTGTTAGCTATCTTGCATATGATGGTCGGTGCCAATATTAGGTACAGAAGTTCTGTTTATTCATACATTTAGATCTCTAGTAATTGGACGATGTCAGGTGATCGACGTATTTCTATTCCAGCGAGGAACAATTAACTAGCATCGCGGAGAGAACGATAATGGAAGCTGATGAAAACGGTGACGGTATGATCTCATTTGATGAATTTTCCAGAGCACTGGAAAGAACAGACGTCGAGCAAAAGATGTCTATACGGTTTCTCAGTTAATTCTTTGCATCCGAACGTTTTAACAATGCACATGGTGTCAGGTATATGTACAAAGATTTACCATATTTAATAACAGTAAGTAAATGCAATGATTGGAGTTGTTTTCTACACCTCCGTTTACTTTACACGGGACTTCTGTTTATACATTCCAAGGAGAAATAATATACTTCTAAAATAATATATTATTGAAACGTCTGCAATTTTAATCGATACAAAATAATACAATTATGTATCGGTGTATAGTCGTTTCATGATTTATCAACTACAAATTCTGTAGTTACCGTAGATTCGTAATCTTCCGTTTACATTTAATTTCTGGACGCTCTCTTTTACTGTTCTGAACGAACGCCCTATGAGCACATTTATGACTGTTGTGATACTATCGAGAAATGAGATATCGTTGAGACGATAGGAAACATAGATGTAAAATATCCATTACGTTAGTGCTATATATTTCGTTTGTACAGTAATTATACTTTGAAAAATATATCGAAGAGTTACATTTAATTAATAGTACGCTTCTCATTACAATAGAAATTCTTACTGCGTTCATCTATACCCCCCTTAGTAAACTCGAGCGTCGATGTTCCATTCCACAATAATCTTGCATAGACATGCAAAACGGTGAGAAAACGTTCTCGTTTCATTTTCTACGTCTATTTAGGCCGTGGATGAGACAGCCAATTTCTTTAAATGCTCCATGAATACTTGTAAGCTGACGTCGTCGGTTAAGACAGGTGCTCCACTTTCCTAAATTCGAACAAAGATCGATTAGCGATTGATCATCATAGGAGAGAAACAAGCTAATAAATTTCGTATCCGAAGATACGTCTACACTGATAGAAAAAATAAATTAGAGTTAGTTTTAATTGAAGAGATACATTTTAATATAGAATATACACCGACGCCAACCACCAGTGAATCGTAACAATACCGCAATGCTGTAAGTGCCTGAATGGAGATTACGCCCAAGACCATTACCAAAGCTATGAAAGCGAGAAAAGAATATAGAATTATGGAATGAATAAAAAACACACCCCGCTGGGTATCGGCATCCCCTGGTTTCAGGATCACGGTGACATAAAAAAATATATTAGTTACATATGACTGTGGCGACCGAGACTGAACGAAGAACAAACATGACAATTTCAAAGGAAGTAGATCATTTGTCAATGATCGATTAAATTCTTAAACTTACCGCTCCGTACGCGTACATGTTGTTGTGAGTCTGGCTCGGGTTCACTTTGCTCAATAAAAATCTTGCTTGCGAACCACCTTGTTCGGTATCGATGTATCTCGGTGCAGGAAATCTTTCGGCTAATATTTCCGCGGCATCGTCCACCGGTGCTGCTAATAATTGTCGGAAATTCTCGTACTCGGGCAGGTCTTGATATTTCAACTGACGCCACTGTGCGATGGTCTATAAAAACGAAGGAAATATTATATTGCTTGTTGTTCACGAGCAACGAAGTTCGAGAATCACCTCTCCGTGGAATATGAGGATTTGGAAGAAAGTATCCATCAATAAAATTCTGTCCGGTTGAATGGATGAAGTATCTAACAATACTGGTTCCGGTGGACCGCTGAATCCATAACTGTATAAGATCGGTTGCACCATTATCAGCGAGTTCGTTAAATCTTCTCGCATGAGCATATGTCTGGAACGTATACGAACAAACTGGGTCAGTGATGAGGAGTTCGATCGACGGAGAGGTGAAGATGTAATTGACTGACCTGTAGAAACTGGTCTCATCGGGAGAATTATTGAAGACTTGCAAGAATTGCGACCTACGTAAATGGTACATGAATTGGGGATATAAAGAAAAGTTTTCCGCCAGCCGAAAACTGTTTGGATCGTCCTTCGCGTATTCTCCGAATTTCTGACACTGTAACAGAAACGTCAGCAAATTGGAGGGACTGGAAATCATTAAAATTGTGCAAGTAGTGACACTGACCAATCTGATGAGCATGCGATCGACCCATCTAAGAACGTCCGGCCCATCGTCGCTCTCTGCCCTGAAGACCGCCAACCGTGACATTAAAACAGCGGCCGCCTCTTGGTCGAAACCGGCGCTGATGTGATGTAAAGACGTCGACGCGTCTGCCCAACTGATAATCAGAAGCGTTTCGTGCAATATTAACGACAAAAGATCAAAGATCTCGATAAATGTGTGAACCAACGTACTTCCTGGCGATCGTAGTCACTCTGATTCTTCGCTGACCACTGCTATGTTGATACTGCGTGATGAACTGAACGCAGCCCCTTCCGCCCTGAGGAATCGGCGCGGTATGTTGATTCACGACTTCGAAGAACAGTGCCACAGTGGTAGATGGATTGAGAGAACAAAATTTCCATTGGCAAGTGCCACCCAATCCTACTTCCTGTTCTCCGACGCTTGCCCCTTTCGCTCCGAGGGACACGCACGGCCCGATCGCCCCGGAAACTTTGATTTCGCGCGACGTTTTCACCTCTAACGTCGCGTTAAACGCCATTTTCAAGTCACCCTTGTGGTCCTTAGCGAATACGCGTTGGAACGTTTGTTTGAACAACGAGGAATTAAATGAGTCTCCCATGACCATATGTCCACCGGTTGAGTTGCAGCACTGTCTCATCTCTAACAGACCCGTTTGATCGAGGGCGCACGAATAGATGTCTATTATGTGGCCGTTGGTCGCGGCTCGTGATGCCAAACCATCGTAATGTTTAGTCGCTTTCTTCATATGTTTCGCGTTATCTTTCTGAATATCGTGGTGAGACCTGATGGGATGTTTCAAATCGTCTGTGACGACTTGGCCGGGACCTTGGGAGCAAGGTCCACCGACGAACATCATTATCCTGAAATGAATATCAAGGATAGAAACGAATCGATTGCACGAGGAACATTTATCGTACCTCGCACCGGTATTGGCATAACTGGCTTCCAAGAGACCGGTAGCAACAGCCAGTGCCACACCGGTCGATCGTAACGGCCGTTTCCCAGGTCCGATCGGCCACGGATCCCGTTGTAATTCCCCTAAAAGATCCGTTAAACTCATATCACACTTATGTACAGGCTGTAAAAAGCGGTTGGCCGCTGGGAGTGGTTGTCCTCCGGGTCCTCGCTGGTTCGGATTCTGACCAGGAACAGGTCGGCCCATACCTAAAATACGCGTACAATGAACACATCAAATTTTAACTGTCATAATCGTGACCGTGTACCTAGCATATCCTGAACTTGTTTCGGTTGCAAGTCCTTGGTACCGCGAAAGACGTAGCTCTTGCTACATCCGTCGCAGCCAAGCTCGTGAACTTGTACCATTCTTCCAAAAGTGATGAGACCGATCAGAGCGTTGGGTGGAAGAAGGGAAAGCGACATTTGTAAAGAATCTTTGAGAGCCCCCAACTCTTCTTCGTCCATACACGTGTCGACGACCAATAAGAAAATGGGTGGCAAACATTGTGCTCTCTGTGCAAAAGTAATATCGATTAATATCCAACGAATAACTCAAGCTGTAAACGTTGCTCACCATTATCGTGTATTCGATCGTAGAAAATTTCGGAATCAATTCTGCCGGCTGATGCTGCTCTGAGATGGCAGCATATTGCGGTGGAAACTGAAACATAGCGTATCGATGAGATCAGTTCTTTCAAAGTTTTGTTCCGAAGTTAGAAACGATTTGCTACTTACTGGATTCCTTTGAAAGCACAGATTGCACACCCATAATTTGGCTCGGTAATCCACTTGACACAACGGATTTAAAATTGCTCTGCACGTAGATCTCGTGCATAGAACAGGGTCGTATTGTATCGGTGGTAGGTCGGGTCTTTCCTTGATGGGCTGATAAAGTACTCCCAACGGTACGACGAGTCTGGTAGCATCTATGCGCGACGAAGGCCAAACGTTCCAAGTGATACGTACTCCGTCGCGGTCTTCGTTTTGCTGAATGAAATCTTCGTAAGTAGTCATGTCGCTGTAACAACGAAAGGGTTGTAAAACGAACGGGATGATTTGTATCGGTCAGTGTTCAATACGCGTTGGATGTAGGGCGCTTAAACGAATGACAAGTGTGAGCGTGACTCCACCGAGCATAGGTTATACTTACTTGATTCGATCGACGTCTAATTATCAAGTGTACCCGACTGTGAGCTCGAAATGGCCTTAATTAACGTTTACCCTCAGCTTTTCATAATTACACCATCGTTTTACAATTCAATTGTAACGACACAATTCTCGTACTTGACTGTAACGGCACGACTCGTGCCGTCATTGCAGCCACGTCACTTCGAAGTGGTGCTGGTGGCACCGTCAGCAAGAGTGGCAGCCTTATGAGATTTTGTGTCGCACGAATAGTTCTGCAATTTTCACCTTCTAGAATATATTGTCACCGAGGTAAAAAATAGAAAGCAAAATACTCGTCGATGCTGAACTGATCGTATATAATCCTATGTATACACATGTTACCGACGAGCCATCATTATATGTTACATTACCGATAATGTATTATCATAGACGAAGTATACATTCTTCCGTACGTCTTCCTTTCCTTTTTCTCTCGTGAAAGTTACCTGTTTGATGAGATTTAAAAAAATGCTTCGGACAAAAGTTGTAGC